TGATTCTAGACACTTAGGTTACCATAAACAAGCAGTCCCAGTGGTTCGACCTACCCGACCAATAGCCCTATTTTACAATGATTTGTGCTATTGCAAAGGGTTGATTATAAATTGTAATCGACGATACCGATCAGTGTCTAAGTTTTAATTTATTATCTGTACACAAATATTGTTCTTGTGTAGAAAAAAAAAAAAAAAAAGAGACTTGTCTTTGGCAATGAGTGTATAAGTTTTAATTTATTATCTATACACAAATATTGTTCTTGTGTAGTAAAAAAAAGGAGTAAGGCGCCTGACTTTATAACAAGAGTTGATGTATGGATTAAAGGTTACTTGAGGAAGACTGGGGAACCTTTGAATGATGCAGTAGAGCAAGCAGTGGTAGCATATCTTTCCTACTTATTTTATCATTTTTTGAATTCCATTTACAAACATGCTTAACTCATGAAATTTTAGACACAAATGAAAGAGTGCACTAAAACCAAATCCGAAGGCGTAAGCTCTTTTCGAGATGATAGATTCACTCATGTACTTGGTTCAGAATGTTGAGGGCAGGTTTGAGGCCTTGGTTTTGGAGCAACACTTTCTAAAATTGAGGCAAATAGTTATTAGATGATGCAAGCGGAAAAAGTTGAAGAAATGGTTCAAGAAATAGTGGATGAAATTAAATCTGAAATGAGGAATGAGATGAGAGTTGAGTTGATGAATGAGATTAAAGAAATGAGGAATAAGATGAAAGCCTTGTTGGTAAGTGTTAGTTATGTTTATTATTATTTTCTGCCTGTATGGCATTTGTATTTAAAGTACTACTTATGTTTAATCCATGTTTTTGATTAAATTGTAGTCCCAAAACGCTAGCGTTGGTTCTCAGTCCAATGCCACGCCAAGTCATATTTCAAAAAGTCTATAAGGTTACCCATGTATGATGTTACACTAGAGTGGATCAGGTGTAGTTATTGCCAATGCTGAGATTGCATCAACGGATCCAAATGTGTTATCAGATGATCATGTTCCACTTGGTCTAGATTGTTGGAAAGTTTGGGTTGATGATGTCATTATTAGGGACGAGCAACCGTAGTTGGAAAGTATTATCTTCATGATGCTCACACAAGCGTAGTTGTATGGCCTAACAAATATGTGAAAATTGCAGAGGTCAATTGGTCATTTATTACCTTTTTATTTATTTATTTAAAAGTAGTCATTAACATATGATTTGATTTTTTTTATATTGGTTGGCAATACATTTTCTTAAATATATATATTTTTTGTGACAGGATTAGATTTGGTTGATTGTTGAAGAAAGATCTACTGCTCTACCCATCTTTAGCTATTGCCTCTTCTATGAGCTCTCTCTCTCTCTCTAATACAAGCACACAATTTATTGTGTGGTATTTTATGTGTTGATTTTATGGTTTATATATGTGTTGGATTGGAAGCTTGTTTTTGCAGATCTGCTATGAACTTTTAGAAATGTAACATTGGTTTAGGAGAAGAGAATTATAGTTTATACGGTCTTCTGATAGTTGATTTGTAATTTTTGTGTTAGAAAGCCAGTACTCTTTATTATAAGGGAATTAGAAGAACAACAAAGATAAGAAAAGTAGGTAGAAAATAATTGAGTGAAGATGAAGAAAAAATAAATATTCACAAATCTCTTTCACAAAATATTATCACTATAATTTCTCAATCTAATTAAACCTCAGAATGGGCTATTATAACAATTTTATAGACTTCAGAACCTTAGTAAAAAATAATCCTAAAGGACAAAACTAACCAAAGCAACTTTGTTTTATTTTATAAAGTGATTTTATATGTGTATAAAAACATATACAATTCTTTAGGAAGCAAGCGTCTCCAAGATAGAGAGAAACTATGTGAATCTAGTATGTGAAGCCTATACAAGTTTTACATGAGAGAATGGAGTAATGAGGCCAACTCTCTTAATAAGAGGGTAAACTTTGGAATGTTACTACAACAGCTAAACCCAAGGTGGTCTTAAATTATGATGTTTCATTTTTAAAAAAATAGAAAATTTATAATGTGTGGTTAGAGAAAATGGTGGTTGATGTAACATGAGAGAGTGGTGATTTTCCTGTCATCTTATTTCATAATGTGTGGTTAGAAAAAATGGTGGCTGATGAAATAGGAGAAAGGGGTTGGTTTTGCTGTCAAGTTATACCTTGTTAGGGCTACAATGAATTCCCAAGATGGTGTTACTGATCTTTTTGGCAAGTGTTTTTTGCTCTTAAGGAGATGGTCGAGCAGAATATGCCTCTCCTAGCTAGTAAATTCACTAATTTTAATTAAGCAATAAAGAGCTACATTATTATGTGATTTGCATGTTAGTAGACATGGAGTTGAGTTTGTTATCCCCTTTTACTTTTTTCTTATCAAATTTGTAAGTAAAATTTCTAGTTCTTTCTTCTTCTTCTTTTAAATGGGAGAATCTAATACTTTTATGCAGTTTATAGAAGCTATCACATTGTGGTTAGGCCTTAGCCAGTGTTGGTTAATTCTTCCGAGACAAGTCGCATTGGTTGATTCTTTTGTGTGATAAAATTGCTTCATAATTTTTAAGCCTACTTTGTTCTTTGACATGATATATAGTTGATGGCAAATAGTGGCACTCTGAATCTTTAATATTTATATAACATGATATTTAAGTTTTTTTTTTTTTTTTTTTCACTTGAAGTTTTAAAGATTAGTAGCATCCTGAAAACCATCATTGTGTGATGCAGGTACTTGCTTAGTTTTTGTATCGTGAATAATTAGGTGGTGTTTTTGACAAGTGTTGATTGAATCTCAAATGCTAGGAAATGGTGTTTCTAACAAGGGCTTATTGAATCTCAAGTGCTAGGAAATGGTGTTTTTGACGAGTGTTGACTGAATCTTAGTGCTAAGAAATGGTGTTTTTGACAAGGGCTTACTAAATCTCAAGTGCTAGGAAATTGATAGAATTGATGGTGTTTTTGACAAATTTGTTTCAATTTCTATTTTTGCACATTAAAGAATGATGAATTTTAGAATTGTGAAAATGCTTTTAGTCTTTTGATATGTACGTTAATTTGATGGTGCATTTCAATGGATTGTTTTGGTTATTGTTATTAACTAATAATTGTTACCATTATATAGTGTGTTTAATATAAATTGTTGTCAATTACAGGTTTTGTGGACTATTACGTAGTATTTATGGTTGCTTTTTGTATAAATAATAATAATAATAATATGTTATCTACGGATAGCTTGAAACCTCGTAAATAAAAAGCTCATATTCAATTATCCATAAGGCACAACTTCAAGCTCGTAAAAAGTTTATATTATTTACGAAAAGCAAAGATCCCCGTAAAAAATAAAGTAAAATTATTTTCTATGAGGCACTCGGGTGTATAGTGAATACTTAGATATATTAACGAGCCACAAAGTATATCATAAATTAATATCAACAACGCAATATGTATACAGTAAATAAGTTTATTTCATAGATAGAACTATTTTCTATGACACTTATTTAAGTCTTCTATGAACTTTATTATTTCTCGTAAAAAATTGTAAGTATTTACAGGACCTTCATAGACAAGGGTACCATTTGCCTCGTGAATACGTTTTCATGGGGTGTTTGGCCCCTCGTAGAAGGCCTTTTTCTTGTAGTGTCGTGAAGTTCGATATCTGATCAGATGGTTAGATTTTCTAATTTTTAATTTTCTGCCATATGTGGGCCTTATCGGTAACTGGTCTCAGGAGATGGTGATGTGATTTGTGGTGTGAAAAGGGGAGAAAAAATAGGGGTGTCTACAATGAGTTTTCAAAAAACTAAATCAAGCCTAAAAATAAAAATTATTTTGTTTAGTGACAAACCAAGTTAGCCTTAGGTTTCTTTAAAATGGTTTTCATTTTACGTTTTCTTTTCCTTTTTCAATTTCAAAACATAGAAATCTAAAAAGAAAAATTAAAGTGATGTTATAATAATGAAAATGCCCCTTAGTAGAAATTCAAGAAAATTTAGGATTTTTTTTTAATATGATTTTCATTTAAGCTTTCTCACCATTAACATGATATTATAATGATGAAAATACCATTTAGTATAAATTTAAGAAATTATTAAAATGATTTTCAATTTAGGCTTTCCTTTTCGGTTTAATTTTTTTCAAAGAATTTTCCTTTAAAAAATTGAAAATTATTCCAAGGTATTTTCATTTTTTTATAGACACGTGTAATATTTTTTTATACAATTATAAAAAATAAAAAAAAAATCGAAAATAATGTTTAAAAACACTATGTTGAATAAGTTATTTATATTAATTTTAATCTTATTATTGAAAATTAATTCTAAAAAATGGCATAGTTTTGGCCATGCATAAGCATTATAGTTCTTTCTAAATACCAATTCTATACATATTTTTAGGACAAATTGCATAAACGCCCTACACTTTATTTCAGTAAGTCCAAGGGCATTTTGGTACACACACACGTACCTTCCATACATTGGGAACTCTTAGAATAGTTGGGATATTAAGGGGTTTTATGTCAAATGATTAGTTAAGAAGAGTTTTGTGCCTATTTTGAATAGTCAAGTGGATTTATTTTTATTTATTTATTTAATTTTTGCAATTTGCTCCAAGGAAAAATAAAAAACCAAATCCATGGTCACCATTTGCTACATCGTAAATGCATGTCCTAAAATGCATGTAGGAGCAAGATACCATTTTACCACTAATCCTTCAAAATTTAACCCACCAATTATATCCCATTAATGAAAACAAATACAACCTCACACTTGTAACAAACCAAAACAAGTCGCTCAAAATTCCAAAACATCTTCCCTTCCTTCCTCACCACCACCATCACTGCAAACCCACTACCACCTGTTTCTCTTCCTTCCTCTCCTCCTCCTCCTCCTCCTCCTCCTCGTTGTTCATCGTCATCATCATCCTGTTATCGTCATATATATTCAGAATTAACCATCACTGTACGTAATGTCATAATCATCTCCACCCATCGACATGTCATCCGTGCATGAAGTTGATCGACTCAACCAGCTGAGGGACATCTTCTCGCGCTTCGACATGGATTCCGATGGCAGCCTGACCCAACTCGAGCTCGCGGCGCTCTTACGCTCTATCGGACTCAAGCCCTCAGGTGACCAAATCCATGCTTTATTATCCAACATAGACTCGAACAACAACGGGGCAGTGGAATTCGATGAATTGGTCAATGCCATCACGCCTGACATTAACCAGGACATACTAATAAACCAAGAACAGCTTCTGGAGGTTTTTCGATCCTTTGACCGCGACGGCAATGGCTACATAACGTTGGCCGAGCTGGCCGGTTCAATGGCCAAGATGGGGCAGCCGTTAACGTATCGCGAACTCACGGAAATGATACAAGAGGCTGATATAGATGGTGATGGTGTCATTAGCTTTCAAGAATTCGCATCTGTCATGGCCAAATCGGCCGCGGATGTTCTTGGCCTTCCATTGTCGTAGCCAGAGATCGTTGTGTTATGTTCATCATCTTAATTCATTGTGTGTTATCATAATCTTTCCGGAATAGTTTTTAGTTGGTTTAAATTATTGATTTGGTAATGTTGGCTTGTTTTTTACATTTATTGTGGGTAGGAGTTTCTTTGTTGCAACAGAATTGATGTATATTATGATAAGGAGTAATACAAAAACATGGAGGATATCGGTTCCTCTCTCAAGAGTATTTTGTTTTTTTTGTTTTTTTGTTTGTTGACTATTGTTATTTAATTTGGGTTAGATTAGATCAAACTTGTATTATTTTTAAGTCAATAATGATAAATTCAATTGATTTATGTGAATGGAATGACATCATTAATATCTTTTCCTTACTCATATAACCCTTATCAATTATAGTCTTTTAATTTTGTATTGCTATATGAGTATTGTAATAACCTAGTCATTTTTCTTCCTTTCCTTTTCTCAATTTTTTTTGAATATTTTATTTTTTCCGTTGATCTTTTCCTTTCTGAGTTCGGTTTCTCGTCACACGGTGTCATCTTGAGTGCTCTAGAATGATTTCCGAGACTCTTTTCTTTGGATTGACAACTTCCTTTGAGAACCGCGTCATTTTCACATTTTTATTTTTCGAATACTATTCACTTTTCGTTCTTTTCCCTATTTAGTCTTGTCCTCGTTTGTCACTTTGTTGGCATAACCTCACTTCTTCTGTTCGGAATTGGTTTTTGACTTCACATATCTTCATTATAAGTGGTTTATACGAAATATGTATCTTTACTTTTACAGAAAAGTACTTTGGTTGCTCCTAGTATCCATAGGGGCATGGATGCAAAGTTCTTTAAAAATTTTTTCTTTTCTTGGGGTGTTTTTCATAAATATCTTTTGAAGATATTTTATTTCAGGGGTTTTTACGAAAATATTTTTAGAAGATATTTTCATTCTGGCTAGTTGTACAATTTTCACTTTTTGGAGGGGCCATTGTGCAATTAATGAAAGTTATTGCTAAATGCCTCGTTTTGAGCCTGGATCCTCATATGGGGTTCATTTTCACTTTTCGTCGAATCGCGTACTCTTAGAATTTCTTTCTGGTCATTTTTCTCCAGTTTCAGGGTTTCCGGCTCCGGTTAGCGGCAAACTTGTTTGGGGCATATATCTCTGCTCGGGAATCGGTTTCCGACGCCATTTTTTCCGTTGTTCATCTTTTCTCATCTTGAATCTTTTTTGTTCACGGAGTTTTGCTGTTTGAGCGCGTCTACTCAAATTTCACTTTTCCGGACCCGATAGGGCTCGTTCGAGACACTTTTAGGGTTTTTCTATAAATAGGGGAAAATCAGATTTCTCTCTCTCTCTCCTCTCTCCTCTCTCATGGCCAGATTCCATGGCAGCCATGGCTGCCACCTTCTCTCTCCTCTTTTAAGCTTCTTCCTTTCAATGAAATGCCGTAGTGCCTTAGTGTTTTATGTTCGCCTTGGCGAGACCTTCGATTCCAATCGATTAGAATCTCGTTTTGGTTATTTCTTGAGTTCGGGTTTGAAGTCAGGTTATGATTTTGATAGGGCTTCTTTGGGGTTCTTGATCATCATGTTGTTCCCGATAAAACCTAGAAGTTTCGTCGGATTCGGAGCGGTTTCATTTTGGTGGGGATTTGAGAGGTAAGGGATGTTTTAGGATTTTGTATATGTTGTATTGAGTGTTTTTCATGATTATACAACTTATTTTCATGCCTTGTATCAAATCTAGAAAATTAGTAATATTTATTTCTTTGTATAAAATTTAATTTATAAGGATGTATATAGTTTAGAATTGAATTATGGCATGATTATAAATTATACTTTAATATGTTTGTTAACATATATTAAATTAGAATTATTTGAATAAGAATTACACTTTTTATTTAATAATTATCTTTTGTGAAAGTTTAATTCTCATGGATATACCTTGCATGAAATTAACTTGTGATATGCTTTTAAATTAAGTCTTGGCATGTTCTTTAACATACTTTAGTTTGAGAGCATTTGGATGAGTATGAAAATCTAAAGATTTTAATTGAAATGATTAATTAAAATATATTTTAAAGGTTCCATTGGCTTAATTAAGTTTTTACTTGATATTGGTAATGACTAGGACTTGTATACTAGCATATGTTAATTTGGGACCATTTGATGTTGTTTTAGAATTTAGGAATTTGATCTTCTTGATTTAATTAAATTCCATTTTATTGTTCAAATGGCCTAATTAAGTTTTTGAATTGGTATATGCAATGACCATGCTATATTGTTTAACATGTGTTAATTAGAGATCACTTGATTGAGATTTGAAACTTAGAGGAATTAATTAGTTTACTTAATTAATTTCCGTTTCTATTGCATTACTGATTAAATCATGTATTTGACAATGGTTGTATGTCTAAAGCATGATTTTAGACTTGAAATGGATTCATGAGTTTGTGTTTTCAATATTGGATTATATTGTCATAGCGTGTAACGAATCGCACACTGAAGATTTGACATGTGATATTATATATCGTCTAACGAGTCGCACACTGAAGATTCGACATTGTCATCCTATAGTAGTTGTGGATTTAGAGCATGTATTATGTGGTTTCAACATACTTGTGCATGAAAGTAGTTTCGTGTACTATTTAATACGCTTATAAGTTATTAACTTATTTATTTTGGAGTCTTGGGACATTATTGTTACAAGTGACATGGCTAGAGTCTGGCTCTAGTGCGGGAGGTATAAGTTCTCCCCATTGAGATAGTGCGCACTAGGGTGGTCTTCCCAGTGGGTTAGTGCCCGGAATAACCGTTGAGGTCTTAATAGAATTCCGAGCGTGATGTCCAAGTCTTCCACTATTTGATTTCACACTTTTAGATTTCAAGTTGATAACTTAGAGAATCTATGTTTTGATGTGTGGTATTAGAAATTCTAATTATACTAAATTGCTATACTTAGTTGTTTTCACACTTTTAGATTCCAAGTTGATAACTTAAAGAATCTATGTCTTGATGTGTGGTATTAGAATTCTAATTATACTAAATTTCTATATTTAGTTATTTTCGTACTTTTAGATTTCAAATTGATAACTTTGAGAATCTATATCTAGTTTCTTTGTATAGTATGCTTCTATGTTGGTTAAATTGCATAGATATTGTGATTTGTGTTTTATTATTCAAATGTGACTTAGGAATGATCTTATAAATTCTTTTGGAATATAGACGTTAGGTGGCATGACCTACTTTGATTGTTTTCGCATTTTAGATTTCAAGTTGATAACTTTGAAAATCTATATCTTATTGCCTTGTATAACATGTTCCTATATTATTGAAATTGCATGAGTGATGTGATTTATGCTAGAAATGATCTAGGGTAACTTAGGATGATCTCTGAGTCTCACCCTTGATATAGACGTTAGGTGGCATGAGCCCCATTAATATGTTTCACCTTAAGGTGATAATTTTGTAAAATGCTAGGTCGATGTATGCTCATTTTCTACGTATAGCTTTATGTTACTCACCCCCATAGTGGAGATATTTTTCAGGCACATGAATCAAGGTTCGAGATTCTTATTATGCTTGGAATACTTTACTCACCCTCGTAGTGGGGATATTTTTCAGGCACATGAATCAAGGTTCAAGATTCTCATTATGCTTGAATGACTTATGGACTTGAAGGTTTCTATTCTTGTAAAGGTTGGCTTGAAATGCCATTTATAGCCTTATTTGTCAAATGTGTATATTTGATTCTAAACTTGTAATGTATGCCTAAGCACACTTTTTGATTCTCATTTTATGTATATGACATGATGCCAAGGGACAAACTTCTTTTGGAATTACATATATGTCATGGATGTTAAATCTTGCTTTTAATGACAATATATGAAAAATCATGCGTTTTAGTATGCTATTTTGCACTGAAGCGTGCATTGTATATGAAATTCATCTATTAGCATTCATTAATCATATATAAAGTGTGACCAAGGGCCAAACGGTATTTTGAAACCATTTCATGATTTTGAGTTCCAAGTTTTCATTCCAAACGTCATTTTTGCCCTTTTGGCCGTTGGGGGGGGGGGGGGGGGGGTCATATTTTGCATCGGCGATATTTTTAAGCCATAGACCATTGTAGCACATCCTAATAGGTAAGTTACATTTGCGTGCATGATCAGTTTTAAGAAAAACATCTTCCTTGGTGATTTGAGCCTCCTATGGACTCATTTTGCATCTTTATTGCATAATCTGGTCTAAGGACATTTTGGGGCTTTCCTTCAAGAATTAAATTCTACTCTTAACATGGTCACTTAGAAAACGTGATTTAAGGGGGGGTTTCTTCTTTGTATTTTTCCAAAAAATGTCATCTTGGTATCGGAAATCCCTCACGAAGTTCAGCTTTCTATTTTTCATTTAACAGCTTTTTCGACCTTCTGGACCAGATTTCTTGGGAGGGTATTTTGGGCATTTCACTGTGAGTATTTTTCATTTCTTCTACGTTTTCAAGTAGAAAACTTAATTTTGAGGGGGGTTTCTTCTTTATGTTTTTCCAGAAAATGTAATCTCGGGCTTCAAAAACCCAATTTTTACTGGAAACCCCTACTGCCAGGTTTTTGCTGACTTTTAGTACAAGTGTGCGAGTAGGAGGACTCTCGTAACCGGTTACGAGAGCTTGGGTAGTGAGTTGGTCACTGATTTTTGCCTTCTAACCGGTTAGGGAGGTTTGGTAACCGCTTAGATGACCTTGGGTTGACCATTTTGACCGTTTTGCCCCTTTTTCTTTCGTTAGCCATATCTTCTTCATCTGGGCTCCAAATCAAGTGATTCTTGGGTCTATGTTTATTAATTTTTTGTTGTATTTCCAATGGTGTGCTCGGTAGTACCCACTTTTAAGTTGGAAATGACCTTTTTGCCCCTAAGTTCATTCTTATCCATTTTCGAAACGTCGCTTCTGCATTTGTTTTCTTTGGGTTCCGTGACCTCATTGAGGGTCACATCGACATCTTAGAGTCATGTTGTATCTTTAGAGACCATTGTTTTGTCCTTTGCTTCCACATTTCGGATCCGTTATCGGATCAACTTTTGGTTCATCACTGACACACCAGGTTGAAAAACTTGGGCCGTCACAAGTATTCATGATCTTTTTGTGTTTCAGAAAATAGTCCTTTATTGTTGCTATTAGTTTTTGGGAAAATGAATTGCATTTTAGACAAACTTCTGAACCACATTTTACCCGAGAAACAACTTTGAGCAGCAATTACATAGCATGCCAAAATACCGAAACTAATTAGCAACTTTGTTCACATTTTTTCTTAGACCAAATTGCACATCAACCCCTATTCATCAATACAAAAAAGCCCCCACCATGCGGAGAAAATGGTGCCCTTCTTGTAACTTATTCAAATTTGTCCAACCACCGTTAAACGTAGTTTGAACCCCTGCCTCTCCAATTTTTCGACTAGAAAACAATCGATTAGTCATCGAGACGATCTTTCTCTTATCTTTCACTCATAACAATGATTTTGTTGCTTTTTTTTTTAATATTGTTAGATTAGGCGTTGTGGCAATCTAGGAGTGTTGTGCCGGTGTTCTGTGGTGGAAGTGTGCAAGCTTGGAGATTTTGGGGACAAAAAGTGAATTTTAGAGAATTGTGGGGGCAAGGAGTGAATTTTAAATGGCCGAATGGTTAGCCAAGAAGAGAGGGGGAGTGAAGATAGGTGAAGGGAGCAAATCTTTTG